TTTTTCCACGAGGTACGATTTTGAGTCCTAGTTGTTTCAGGAAAGTCTCGTTCTGAGGTGTTAACACTTTGCGAAGTGGTTTCAAACTGACGCTTTTTCGACATTTTGGATAATTTATAAAACTTTTTGCTCCTCCTCCCTCTTTACTGTTGTATACAATACCCATCACAGTGTTTTAACGTATAGCCGTATAGTTATAACTTCTCCACGAAAGTTGACTAAATCACCGTCTTGATCGCTTATGCGCAGCTATATATTGTTTATTGTCTTCACGGCTCACGGAAGATAAATGAAGTGTGTTGGCAATTCCACAATCTTATATCCTGGTGGAACAAGGGGGAAAAATTCGTGTATTGTATTACTTATTCTGCCATTGATGTATGCACCTGTTGTTATATTACAATCCACTCGCAAATCATTCACTTTGAGAATAGCGATTGGTAAATCTGAAGTATGAGTAATGTTTGCCTTCAGAATGCGTGGTGTAAATCCCAGGAGACGTCCAATTGAATTCTTGTGTTGAAAATTTATTTCACGGTTGCAATGAATTTCACTGCTGTAGTGCAATAAAATAAATAAAAACAAACATAATTTAAAAGAAAGTCAGGATATATTTTAAGAAAATTGTCACTCCTTTATAATATTACTATACATAGTTTTTCCGACAAGTATAAACCACGGTCGACGAGCTTCTGCCCATCTCCTCTTATCACTTTCCTTTAATCGGACATAATCGTCTAAATTCGTAATTCTCTTCGTCAAGTCATTCGTCATTTACTTTCTAGCATTCGCGTACATTACACATATTACAGTTCGACTATCCTGATTCATCCCGTTCACGGGTATCGTTAATTTACAATTTCAAAAATTTAAGACAATTTATCGCAGATTGTTCAGATTTACACAAATTTAAAAACAAATTAAAATTTAGAAATTGTACTGATTTACAAAATTAAATAGATCGAAATCCTCAAATCACATAATTTAAAAACGTGACGTACGCGTGCGCATAGTCTATTATTCTTACACACACATATTTATTATGACTGACACCACAGACACATATTTCTTGGTTCCCAGACACCCTCATATTTTCGCTGGGTTACTTGAAATCCTTCAATATCAGCTACAGCATAGCGTTTATTTCGTAAGACTTTCGAGACTATATAAGGCCCCTTAAAACGCGGGATTATTTTTGGCGATATTCCCTTTGTCGAGTCAAAATTCCTAATCATTACGAAATCACCAACCTGATAATCAAAAGCATCTTTTCTCTTTTTGTTCGCATTCGCCGCATATCACATTTGGCTTATTCCAATTTTATTATCGACTTTTGCACGTAAAACTTCGAGCTCCCTGGTATCTGGACTAATCTTATTTTCAATAAATTTTTTAATATAATCATTAATTTTTCCTCTTTGATTTAGTCCAAATAACAATTTGCTCGGAGTTTCGCCAGTAGACATATGTACTGCATTATTTAGTCCAAATTCGATATCTGATAATACTTTGGGCCATTGTTTACCCGCTTCGTAATCACTTAATTTTCCCAACATTGGACCCAAAGATTTATTAACTATTTCTACTTGGCCATTAGCCTGCGGGGAACCAGTCGCGACTTTTACATGCTGTATATCGTATTCCTTAAAAAATTCTTGGCATTCTTGCGAAGTAAACGAAGTCCCTCTATCAGAAATTACCGTTCTGGGTTTACTATAATTTGCGAAATAATTTTTTAAAGACGAAATAGTTTCCGCCGACTTCGTGGTTTTTGTCGGGTACAATTTTACAAATTTGGTGAAACCATCGATCACAACTAAAATGTGTTTTTTCGATTTAACCCGTTCATCAAATATATCTAAGTGATCGATGTGTATTGTCTCAAAAGGTTTATCACCCTTAGGTATCACATTAACTTTACCCTCGACTTTGCCCGAAGACGGCGTAAACGCTATACATTTGCAGCAATTCCTAATATGTTCATTTATCTTGTTTTTCATGTCCGGGAACCAATAACTTTTCCTCAAAGTCTCATACACTTTCGTCACCCCTTGGTGCGCTAATTCGTCGTGATACTTGAACAATACATTCTTCTCCATAAATTCCGGTACATAAAGCAAAAGGGTATCAGTGTTTTCTCCTTTACGATACAAAACCCGTTTCTCAATTCAAAATGTTTATCTTGCCTAATCTCAATTTTTTGTTTCAAATCAGCGATCATTTTATCTTTATTTTGCGCGATTACCAAATTTGTTTCAAAGGAATTATCATTTACAATGCCTATCCAACTGCGCCTACTCAAACCATCAACGTGACTCATTCGCTTTCCTTCTCGATGCTCAGTAGTGTAATCGTAACCTTGAAGCTCCATAACCCACCTGGAAATTCGGGGATTTATTTCCTTCTTCTTCAAAGCGAGCGTTAGAGAGTTACAATTGGTCACAATTTTGAACGGGATTCCGAGGAGATAAACTCGAAATCTACGCACGGCATAAACAATAGCCAACATCTCAAGTTCAAAACTGTGATACCGGCTTTCAACTTCAGTACTCCGCTTTGAAAAGTAAAAAATGGGATGAAACTTCAAGTCCTTTCCACGTTGCATCAAGATCGCACCGTACCCCAGCGCGCTTGCATCACAATGCAGTTCGGTTTCGGCTCGAGGATCGTAGATCGCTAAGATCGGAGATTCGGCTAATTTTTCTTTTAAAATTTTAAACGCATCATACTGATCTTTTTTGAAATTAAATTCCGCCCCCTTTTTGAGAAGGTCGTACAGAGGTTTTGCAATCAAAGAGAATTTTTCTACAAATTTTCGGAAATATTGGGCAACCCCTAAAAAACTCTGTACGTCCTTCACAGTTCTGGGCTCGGGAAAATTCGTCACGGCTTCGATCCCTTTTGTGGTGAGACTAATACCACTTTCAGACACCACATAACCTAAAAACTCAATCTTTGTGGATAAAAATTCACATTTGTCGGTTCTCAACTCCATTTTATTTGCAATCAATAATCTAAATACTTTACGCAAAATTACAATATGCTCGTCAATTGATACGGTGGCTATAAGCAAATCGTCCATATAGGCAACCACATCCCCAGATTCAATCAAATCTTTAAAAACGGTATTTATAAATCTTTGAAAACGTGACGGAGTCACTTTTAAACCAAAAGGCATACAAGTGAACTCGAATTGTCCAATAGGTGTTACAAAAGACGTATACTTTTGTGAATCCTCGGCAATAGAAATATGGTGAAATGCATCTTTCAAGTCTAACCAAGAAAAATATTTTTTATTATTTAAAATATCGAGCTGTTCGTCGATTAGCGGTAAAGGATAATTATCCCCGATAAGAAATTTATTCAATACACGAAAATCGATACACAAGCGCATTTCGCCATTTTTCTTTTTAACCAGCACTATTGCTGATGCATACTCGGAATCACTCGGTTTTATACGCTTCAAGGTTATCAAATTTTTAATGATTTCTATCAATTTCTGTTTTTCTATAAATGACAACCGTCTAGGGGCAAACCGGAAAGGCTGATGTTCTTTTAAGCGAATAGTCAATTCCGCTTCCACAGCAGGCTTTTCAGGCCGCTCAGGCTTGATATATTCTATAAAAAACAAATCCCTGATTTAATCGCGATCTTCAACTGCAATTTCGTCATTAATTTTAAGAGTCCCAATAACATCAATTTCAGACTCGTCAATATCAATATTTAAAATTTCTGACACTGCTTCCGCCAAACTATCATCTGTTTCCATTATTTTAAAACCAAATTTACGGAATGAATCGCGACCCAAGACTACCGGTAATTTCATAGTATTATCATCTACAATTAATAAATCAACATCTCTAATCAGCCGTCCTAGCGTGACTCTAGACTTTGCCCGACCAAGTATTTTTAATTTGGACTCATTTATACCTGTATATTCAAAACATGAGAATCAAAAGGTTCAATTAATTCAGGGTTTACAAATTTTTTTTTTATAAAACTGACTGGACTACCACTATCCAATCTCGTCGACAGAGTTAAATTAAAAACCTCACCATCCAGATGAAACTCATATGTAGCTGATCTCAGGAACTCATCTTCTTGATTACCTAAATAGACATTTGCTACCTCCTTCGCCACCGACGATCCTCGCTGCACACAATCCTTGATGACATGATCAACTCCCCCGCAACGAAAACATGACCCCTTCTTTCTTTCTGAACGCTGACATTCAGTGGATAAATGGCCCCATTTTCCACAATTATAACAACGAACCGAAGACCTCGTACTAGCACCTTCCTTGGAACCCTCTTTAGTGCCCGGTTTGTCACCCCTTCTAAATCCTTTTGGCTTCTCGTCCGTTGGTTGACTTCTGCCAGATAACGCGATTTTCTCAAACGCTTGCAGCAGTTTTTCCACGGAATCAAAACATTGAATGCGCGCCTGATCACGCATGTTAGAATCCGCTATGCCATCAATATAATAATCTAGCCGTTCGGCTTCATCAATTGGAACTCTGTTTGCTAAAATGATTTTGTCGTGCAGATATTCACTAAAAAGTTCACCCTTCTTCCAGGTTCTCTCCTCAAATTGTTTTCGTAGTAGCACTCTACTCGGCCTCCGATGGATCATTTTTTGCAATTCTGTCAGCAAACTGTCAATGGGCATCTGAATGAAATCAGGTTTCGAGTAAAACCAACTCAGCGCCTTGCCTTTTAATTTGGAGCAGATAAGAATCCTCGCAGAGTCGTCATCCAAGTTATAGGTATCAACAAGTATTTTCACCTGTCGTTCCCAGCTGTCAAAATTCCCACCAGTGCCGTCGAATGTGCTCAGCAACTCTCCAATTTTCGTAATACACAATTTCTGCTGGCTTATGTTGAATGAGGACCTTCCAGGTGAGTCATTGCGATGGCTCCCCACTTCTTCTCGGATTTCCCCCAACCTTCGTCGTTCAAGTTCTAATGCTCGCCGTTCTTCTTCCAATATGGCTGAACTATTCATTTGCGTTGAACTTCCGGGTCTCTCTCTCTATTTAGTCTCACTCTTTCCAGCTCCTGCCTAGCTAAATCCAGTTGCCTTGCCATCTCCACTCGCTCGGCTCTGATAGTTCTCAGCTGTTCGTCATAATTTTGTCCTTGGTCTCTGCTTGCTACTGATTCCTTTAGTTTTTCCAGATCGCTCTTCAACGCTTCCACCTTGGCCGATAGGTTTTCATTTTCCAGCCTTGTCTTCTGCAACTCTTCTTGTAGCAGATTATGTTCTGCAACTTGGTTTTTTTCTTGAATAAAGGCTTTCCAACTCTCTTGCTTGTCAATTTCCTGAATTTTGGCGACCAGTTCCGCTTTATTGCCCGTGGAGCTCATATTTTTCCAACGTAAAATCTCCTTCAATTCTACCACAGTAAGGTCTTGTAGCGTCGTCGCCATTTTAGACACGTGCACAAGTCCCTTTTTCACTTTTAACTCTTCCACAAAAATTAAACACTGTTCAATTATCACAAAGAGGAAAAGAAAATATTTCTTTCAACATTAACAATTTACAATTCACAGCTCACAATAAGTCTAACCGTGGTCACTTCACAAATTATCGAAATTTCACTTTAAGAACACAGAAGCCGTAGCCATTTTAAAAATTTCGTACCGAATCACTCACTTTTTCGGACTAATTTCTAATTATTTATACCGGCGCAATGGATATAATCCCACTTCTGAAATCTGTAGTGCAATAAAATAAATAAAAACAAACATAATTTAAAAGAAAGTCAGGATATATTTTAAGAAAATTGTCACTCCTTTATAATATTACTATACATAGTTTTTCCGACAAGTATAAACCACGGTCGACGAGCTTCTGCCCATCTCCTCTTATCACTTTCCTTTAATCGGACATAATCGTCTAAATTCGTAATTCTCTTCGTCAAGTCATTCGTCATTTACTTTCTAGCATTCGCGTACATTACACATATTACACTGCGTAAAGTATTGTTGTTTGGTCTAATCTGTATTTCAATACCAGCACGTGCTGCTATCTTTTGCACGTTGTTGTTAATATCCTCAATTCATCCATGATGAGCTTGCACTCTCTACTGACTCAACTTTCTGAGTCACTGACTTATATAGAGTACAATTGTGGTAAAACAAATGCTCTGCTTGCCCTCATTTAACACCCGAATGGTTTGCGTTTTGACAACGTTTACATTTATTCGAAATCTCTAAAGCAACCAAAATATAAATTTCTAGAGAGAATTTTAAAAGCTGTAAAAGGTGTAGAGTACTACCCGTTTAGCGAACATGAAGAAGTAATATTACCGAGTGAAGCTCGACAAAATTCAATTATTGTCTTTGATGATGTTGCCTGTGAAAAGCAAGACAATATTAGAGCTTTTTTCTGTATGGGTAGACATGGTCACGTAGACAGTTTTTACTTGTGTCAATAGTATGCACGTATTCCTAAGCATCTAGTTCGAGATAATGTAAACTTGCTAGTGCTTTTTCGCCAGGATGAAAAAACATGAAACACGTTTATGATGATCATGTAAATACCGATATGTCATACACACAATTTCGTGAATTATGTGCAGCTTGTTGGAATCTCGACAAACATGGATTTCTTGTTATTGATAAAGAGAGTGATATAAATGAGGGCAGATACAGAAAAGGTTTTGACTGTTTTATTGGTCTATAAATATGAGTAATATGCATCGTATTGCGTTAGTACTGACCTTGACAGTACAATGTTAACATTTCAAAAAGAAAAGAAGGTCCTTCATCAAATTGACAAAGCCAACGAGGCGATTCGACGTAAACATCGAACGCTTATGCTGGGCAAAGAAGCTGCTGAACAAACTTTAAGTACAACATTTAAACCGATAGTTGTGCCACTACAAAAACTTGTTGAAATGTCACATAATCCACCGCGAGTAAAAGCAGAACCTACAAAACATGAAGTTCAAAAAGAAGAAGAGGATAATGCTTCCTTTGCAACTGCTACGGATGAGGAAGAAGATGACAGTCTGCTTGACACTCATGATGCAACAGCATCAACACTAAAAAGTCCTGAAACTTATGATTACTTAACAAATAAATTTCTCAGAATGTTGCAACAAAATCGCAATTAATTCTTGGACATGACTTACGGCGTTCGAAAACTCGATAATAGTATTCTGATGATTGGTGATACACCTATTCATTTTGAGGGACAGTACATTGACGTTGGTGGTAAACGTTACCTTAAAACTGTTGGTCTAATGGAACTGCTGTTTCGACAAACTCCTGATGAGTCATTAATAAGTGATGCTGATCTCAACACATACAAGGAGATTATAATTGACACCAATGCACACAAGAAGAATTACAGTTCCAATGGTCCGACTCATACCAGCAGAAATCTCAAGTATAAAAATTTTATTGACAAATTGATATCTACATCTCGCAGACGGTCCGCAACCAGTGGCGGTACATTACCCAAGTTCATGACAAATAGAAAAAATGTCAACACTGACTACGTCTACTGGGATGATCCGAATGAGCTGGTAGACCGACTTCGTCTACTAGTTGCATCTCAAGCAGCTGGAAATCCTAGTTACAACAATGAAATAATTTCCATCATTGAAGAACTTCGTGAATCAGGAATCATATATTAATCGTGATTGTTATCAATATTGCTCAGTTTAAAAATGAGTCTTGACGTGTTTGGACGCCATTTGGAAAGAGCAACAGCAACAACTATAGCCAGTCGTGGACCACATGGTGTAGAATTCAAAGTCAACGTGGATGGTAACTACGACATAGAAGGCAAAAGAATTTGCAACGTTGCTGCGGCTGTAGCCGAAGACGACGCAGTGACATTAAAACTGACACAGCATATGATAGAGTACGAAGTACGTTTACTGTATCAAGTCACATCGTCACAGAGGAAAGAGATTGATGACACTAACCTGTTACTAAAAATTCACGAAGACACTGTTAATGTAAGACTAATTAACCTGGAACATGAAATAAATGGATATTTATCATATCGCGAAACGCTGAAATTCTTAAAGAATTGGATACTCGTTTAAGCGTTTTGGAAAATGAAGACAAAAAGTTGTCAGTAGTGATGGAACTTCACAAACCGGCTAGAAAAAACTATCCACGTCGCCGTGTGCAAATGCGTGGTATTGATGAGACTTGGCAGGCAGATTTAGTAGAAATGATACCTTATGCCAAAGGAAACAAAGGCTAAAAGTACTTGCTTACAGTAATCGATACATTTTCAAAATACGCATGGGTAAGTAAAAGTGACAACGATGTTAGTGCAGCAATGGAATCCATACTTGAGAAAGGACGTGTTCCAAAAAATTTACACACCGATCAAGGAAAAGAATTTTACAATACAACTTTTAAAAGTCTAATGTCACTTCATGACATTTACTTGTATTCAACACATAGTAATATAAAAGCATCTATTGTTGAATGTTTTAATCGTATCCTTAAAAACAAGATGTGGCCACAATTTAATTTAAGGGGAACCTACAAGTTGATAGACATTTTACCGCAACTTATCTCGCAGTACAACGGAACAATAGATCGAACAATTGGTATGAAACCAAAAGACGTCACTGCTGCTAAGGAGAGGACCTCAAGCGACGTTTTATCGCATTACGAAAAATACCCATGAATATAAAATATTTACATTAGGCGTTTATTTATTTAGCAGTTTATATTACAAATAGAAAACACCTCTCCCTTTCTCATTCTTCCATATCATTCTCTCTATCTATTTATCTTATTTTATAGTGTCCCCACGCAAGGGTATCAGTTGTATTTGGTAGTAAGTAACGCTTATCATCATATGGAGTACGAGCAAGTTTTGTTTGTCGAATTGTTTCTACATTGTGTAATCGTGACCAGATAAGACGTTGCATTCGCGTTTGTTTACTATTTTCTCGAAGACATTGTTTGAAATCGTTGAAAGTAATAGTTTTCTTTATAACATTTGATTTTAATCCCTTTGCTTTTTTAACATGATCGATACCATTCACGCGTACACTGTACATTTTACTCCGCAGGCAAACAAACTCGGTTATGATTTTACCGCTACATTCATCTTTCATAAGATCTAACACTTTTTTGTTGACCTGTGGCATTCCGTACACATTGTCTATAGGGTAATCGGAGGTGTCTTTGTCGATGTCCTGCTGCATTATTTCGTAAACGACATTACATTTTAATTCATAGATGAAACTATCCGTATACGTGTACAATAATTTACAATTTTTACCATACTTTTGTTGCATATAGTTATAATGAAATTCATACATAAGTATATTAGACACATCAAGTACAGTAAGACCAATGTAGATTGGTTTGTTGAACAAAACTTCCAATTGTCACGGTGGTACCTAAAAAGTTTAAATTTTGAGTTTTGTTTTCTTGTGGTAAAATTTACTTCTTGTAAATTTTAATACAATACTTTGATAATAAAACTCAATTGTCAGCATAATGCGATGGGAACGGATTCGTGACTTACTCTTGAAATGTCTTTTTTGCACATGTTATTGTTATTACAAATGTCTAAAATGAAATGTCATCACCAATAAAATACGTGCATATATTCTAACATTGTTTAAAACTCCTACGGGCATCCGTAATTAAATATAACATTGAAAAACGAACATTATCTCCACATGGTTAATTGAAAATATATGATTTTAGTACTGTAAATATTACAAGCGTGTTGGTGAACATTGCAACTGCGTTCGGTATGTTGCGGCAATGTTCCCAGTTTAAAATTGCAAAAAAAAAATTTAACAAATGAGAATGTTGCGAGTGCCTTAACGAACATTGCAGCAACGTTCTGAACGCATTGAACGTTGCGGCAATGTTCCCCACTTAAAATTGAAGGAAGTAGCGAACGACAATGATGCGAATGTTGCCAATATGTTAACAAACATTGCGGCAGCGCCCTGAATGCGTTGGACGTTACGGCAATGTTCCCAAACCAAAATTGTAGAAGTTAGCGAACGAGAATGTTGCGAGTGCGTTAACGAACATTGCAGCAACGTTCTGAACGCATTGAACGTTGCGGCAATGTTCCCCACTTAAAATTGAAGGAAGTAGCGAACGACAATGATGCGAATGTTGCGAATATGTTAACAAACATTGTGGCAGCGCCCTGAATGCGTTGGACGTTGCGGCAATGTTCCCAAACCAAAATTGTAGAAGTTAGCGAACGAGAATGTTTCGAGTGCGTTAACGAACATTGCAGCAACGTTCTGAACGCATTGAACGTTGCGGCAATGTTCCCCACTTAAAATTGAAGGAAGTAGCGAACGACAATGATGCGAATGTTGCGAATATGTTAACAAACATTGCGGCAGCGCCCTGAATGCGTTGGATGTTGCGGCAATGTTCCCAAACCAAAATTGTAGAAGTTAGCGAATGGG